ATACACTTTCTTCTCAGCAGCACATGGATCCTTTTCTAAAATAGGTCATACATTATGGCCAAAAGCAACTCTTAGCAAATATAAAAAAGTAGAGAAACTACCCTGCATTCTACAAGATCATGATGGAATGAAATTAGAAATCAATGATAAAATTTAAAAAGAAAAGCTACTCCAACACCTAGAGACTAAATAATATGCTACTGAATGAACAATGGGTTGCAAAAGACATCAAGGAGGAGATTAAAAAATTCTTAGAGGTGAATAAGAACACAGATAAATGTATCAAAATGTATCAAAATCTCTGGGACATTGTGAAGGCAGTACTAAGAGGACAGTTCATTGCATGCAGTTCATTCCTTAAAAGAAGGAAAAAAATCAACAAATAAATGACTTAACATTACATCTCAAAACCCTAGAAAAAGAAAAACAAAATCAACACCAAAAGTAGTAGAAGACCTACAGAAGGCTAAAGAAAGAAATTACAAAAGACCTTAGAAGATGGAAAGATCTACCTTGTTCTTGGATAGGCAGAATTAATATTGTCAACATGATAATACAAAAAGTACTATACAGATTTAATGCAATTCCAGTCAAAATATCAATGACATTCCTCATAGAAATAGAAAAAGCAGACATGAAATTTATCTGGAAAAACAAGAGACCCAGAGTAGCTAAAGCAATCCTCAGCAAAAAGAGTGAAGCAGGCGGCATCACTATACCAGACTATACTATAGAGCAATAGTAACAAAAGCAGTATGGTATTGGTACCAAAATAGACTTGTAGACCAATGGTACAGAATAGAGGACACAGAGACTAACCCACATAAATACAGTTAACTTATACTAGACAAAGGCACTTAAAATGTACATTGGAGAAAAGATAGCCTCTTCAACAAATGGTGCTGGGAAAACTGGAAATTCATATGCAACACAATGAAATTAAATCCCTATCTCTCACCATGCACAAAACTCAACTCAAAGTGGATCAAGGACCTAGGAATTAAACCAGAGACACTGCATCTATTAGATGAAAAAGGAGGCCCAAATCTCCATTATGTCAGATAGGCCCCGACTTCCTTAATAAAACTCCTATAGTGCAAGAATAGGAGTCAAGAATCAGTAAATGGGATGGATTCAAATTAAAAGGCTTCTTCTCAGCAAAAGAAACAATCAGTGAGTTGAATAGACAGCCTACATTTTTGGAGCAAATTTTTACCATATACACATCAGATGGTGCACTAACCTCTAGGATATATAAAGAACTAAAAAATCTTCACATCAAAAAAGCAAATAACCCAATCAATAAGTGGGCCAAGGAGCTGAACAGACACTTCTCAGAAGAAGATATACAATCAGTCAACAAATATATGAAAAAATGTTCAACATCTGTAGCAATTAGAGAAATGCAAATCAAAACTACTCTAAGATATCATCTCACTCCAGTCAGAATGGCAGCTATCAAGAATATAAACAACAATAAGTGTTGGTGAGGATGTGGGGAAAAAAGTACACTCATACATTGCTGGAGGGACTGCAAATTGGGGCAGCCAATATGGAAAGCTGTATGGAGATTCCTTGGAAAACTTGGACTGGAACCACCATTTGATTCAGCTATCCCATTCCTTGGTCTATACCCAAAGGAGTACTTTAGTAACACAGCCACATCAATATTTATAGGAGCACACTTCACAATAGCTAAACTGTGGAAGCAACCTAGATGCCCTTCAGTAGATGAATGGATAAAGAAAATGTGGCATATATACACAATGAAATATTATTCAGCATTAAAAGAGAATAAAATCATGGCATTTTCAGGTAAATGGATGAAGTTGGAGTATATAATGCTAAGTGAAGTTAGCCAATCCCCAAAACCAAATGCCGAATATTTTCTCTGATTTAAGGATGCTGATTCATAATGTGCTGGTGGGGGCAGGGGAGGATTAGATGAACTATAGATAGAGCAAAGAGGAAAGGGGGAGGGAGGGGAAGGGAGGGGGTACTGGGGTAAGAAAGACTGTGGAATGTGATGGACATCATTACCCTAAGTACATGTATGAAGACATGAATGGTATGATTCTCCTTTGTGTACAACCAGAGATATGAAAAATTGTGCTCTATATGTGTAATATCATTTGTAATGCTTTCTGTTGTCATATATAACCAATTAAAATTTTAAAAATGAAGAAAAGAAAAAGAATACACCAGAAAAACCAGTTGTCCTCTGATGAACAGAAAGGCTTAGTTTTAGTATATTGAAATGTACTGGTCTTTTCCTTCTATGGTTAGTGTTCTGCATCATATGTGATAAAACTTACCCTTCTTATGTGAATACATGACCAGTGTAACTCCACATCATGTACAACCACATGAATGGGAATTTATACTCCAAATATATAGAATATGTCAAAATACACTCTACTCTCATGTATATCTAAAAAGATTCAAAAAAAATCTTTCCCTATCCTGAGATCATATTCTTTAATTTTTTCCTTCCAAAAGCTTTACATCTTGGTGTTATGCAAAGAAAGTTAGGTATCAATTCCCCTAGAGTTAACTCTTGTGTGTGCTGTGAAGTTGGATGTTCAATGTCATTATTCTTCTGGGATTCCTGATTATCCTGCATCATTTACTGAAGATTATCCTTTTCCTGCTGTTCTGTGGTGTCACCTTGATCACAAATCAGATGCCTATTTATTGGTCTGTTTATGGTCTGACTGATCTTACACCAGTGACGTACTACTCCATTATTACAGCTTTAGGATATCTTCACACCCAGTAGAGTGAGTTCTCCTGCCTTGATTTTCTTCCTCAAAAGTGTCTCGGTTATGATTTGCTCTGTGCATTTTCATACAAATTTAGTCACTTTGTCAAGTAATGCAATAAAAGCCTGATGGAATTTCTCTTGGGAATCAGATTCAGCTGACTAGTCATTTGGGGAGTTTTTCCAATATTGAGAGACTTTGAGTCCAACAACATAATATCATCTCCCCCATTTATTGGATTTTATTTAATTTTACTTAATAGATTTTATAATTTTATGTGTAGAAATCTTACTCATACTTTGATAATCCTATTCCTAGGTACTTGATATTTTTAAATAGCAATGTAAGTGGTATTTTAAAATTTTCTAGTCTGTTGTTAGATGTGTAATTGATTTATGTATATTAATTCAGATTCAGCTATTACATTATGCTGTCTTACTAATTTTAATAGTTTGTAGATCATGTTGGGTATGTTGTATACATAATATGATACTAAATCACTACACTTTGGTACTTTTCTTATTCTTGAACCCTTTATTTCTTTTTCTTGCCTTTGTATACTCCTTTACAAAGTTGGAGAGGTGAAAATAGACATCTTTTTGTTGTTGTTGATCTGAAAGGGAAAGACTCTCTGTTCATAATTATGTATGATGGTGGCTACCTTTTGAAGAAGGAGCACCCTCTCTCAGACCAAGATGATTCCATTCTATTCCAACTTTTTCTAAGAGTTTTTAAAACATAACTGGAAATGTAACTTTATCAAATGGTTTTTCAGCATCAATCAAGGTGACCACAAGATCTTTTCTCTGTTAATCTTTACATAGAAATAGAACACATTCTCTATTGTGGGGTGCATTACTGCTAGTTGGCAAAAAAAAAAAAGAAAAAGAAAAAACGAAGGAAAGAAAGAAAGAAAGGAAGAAAGAAAGAAAGAAAGAAAGAAAGAAAGAAAGAAAGAAAGAAAGAAAGAAAGAAAGAAAAACCCAAACAAACAAACAAGTTGGGGGGAAAAAAAAGCTTTGCAGTTCAATTCACAATAGCTAAGCTATGGAACCAACCTAGGTGCCCTTCAACAGATGAACGGATAAAGAAAATGTGGTACATATATACAATAGACTATTACTCAGCCATAAAGAAGAATGAAATTATGGCACTTGCCAGTAAATGGATGGCACTGGAGACTATCATGCTAAATGAAATAAGCCAATCCCCCCAGAACCAAAGGCTGAATGTTTTCTCTGATGTGTGGATGCTAACACACAATAGGGGGGAGAGAATAAAAGTTCATTGGATTAGATAAAGGGAAATGAAGGGAAGGGAGGGAGGATGGGAATAGAAAAGACCGTGGAATGAATTGGATATAACTTTCCTGTGTTCCTATATGAATACAAGACCAGTGAAACTCCACTTCATGTACAACTGCAAGAATGGGATCCTAATTAGGAGAAGTTATATTCCATGTATGTAGAATATGTCCAAATATACTCTACTACTATCATATATGTCTAAAGAGAACAAATAAAAAATATTTTAAAAAAAGCTTTGCAGAGATCCTGTTGTTATACCTGAAGGAACATATGGTACAAACTGAGGTAGGGGCTTCTGTCCCAGATGTGGTGGTGCAGGTGTTTGGGGAAAGGACTCCTTTTGAAACTACAGAGGCTTTGCCTGCTAACCCACGGAGACAGAATAAGCTCAGGAATATTAAGGTCAATTTGAAGGATGTGAGTCATGACAACCTAAACATCTACATTCATGAGTTATTTTGTTAATATCTTCCCCACTCCATTTGTTTTTAACTTTGTTATAACTTTACTCCTGCCTCTCTTTCAGAGTAGGTCCTCCCTCAACTTCATTCACGTGCACACCTAGCAATGAGTGTGTGTTGGCAGGGTGTGGAGAGGACTCTTCTGCTCAGGGCACCCTGTCCAATGAATTCAGACCCTCTGGGCAACAGGATTTTAAAATCTCTTTCTGGGAAATTTCAATGTGCAACTAAGGTTGAGAGCCACGAATCTATACCTTTTTGAAATTGAAGATTATATGTGAAACACAGCCTGTTTCACAAAGGAGAAGTCTAATCATTACAAAGTCAAATAGATAACAGAATTTAGCATTACCCAACGGAGACATGACAGGACAAATGAAAGGAAAAAGCCACCAAGAAAAAAAAATTTTTTTAAAAAGCAAGAGGACAAAGAACGAAAACAGCACAATGATTATAGTCAATCTACTCACTCGATTTTCTCTGGAAGATCGGTTCGGGTCATGCACACACAATTGACCACAATGGTGGCAGTAATAAATACAGTGAACCACCTGAGAGGCCAATGTTAAGGAAGAGCTGAGCGTCACCTTGTCTCCTTGATGTCATCTAGGATCACCTTGATGCTGAATGATCAAGTTCATATCTCTTAGCTAATATTAGCATCATGGTCTTGTCATATAATAACCACTTGTATTTACTGAATCCCTCACCTGGGCTGAAAACCCTGCCCACTAATTTCTAACAGCACACAACAATCTATGGCTGGATATTATTACTGATATTTTTGATCGGAGCAAACTGATCTCAAAGCTTAAATAAATTTTCTGAGATCTTGCAGCCAGTTATCCATGGTGTGGAGATGTGGGCTCAGCTCTGTCTATAACAGACCCTTTGGAAAAAGAAAAGAAAATAGAGTCCCTTTTCCAAAATGTCCTTCTGTCCTGAGGCTTTCATTTCACCAGACAAGGTGACCTGAAATTCCAACCAGCAAAAGTCTCTTTTATTCTTTTTTTTTTTTGTCGGGGGGGTTAGGGGATTACCAGGGACTCAGGGGTACTCAACCACTGAGACACATCCCCAGCCTTATTTTGTTTTTTTTTTTTAATTTAGAGATAAGGTCTCACTGAGTTGCTTAGCACCTCACTTTTGCTGAGGCTGGCTTTGAACTTACAATCCTCCTATCTCAGCCTCCCAAGCTACTGGGATTACAAGTGTGTGCTACCTCACCCACCTAAAAGTCTCTTTTATTCTAAAAGCCAAAGAGAAGTTAGGAAGTTGGAGATAAGTGGAAGGGTACCAGCCTTTCTGGGATTGTTTTAGTCAGATCATTTTCCTAATGTAGCTGAGATCAGTCTTATTGATGGAAACAGACTTCTGGGTAGGGATGGAGGAGTCAGGAACCAGGAAGGGACTTACTCACTTGGGAAGAAAATCCTAAATAGAATTAGCTATGCATTGCCACAGAGGAAAATGCCAGGAGCAGGGAATAGGCAAAGGTATTCTGGAAGTGGAAGGAGACTTTGAAAGGAAGGTGAGTGGAAGAGGGTAAACGTGGAAGAAAGGGTGGCTGGGAGGATCCAAAGACAACTTTCTCCTATTTGTACATTTCCTCAGAGCTAGATGGCCTCCTAACAAGATTTCCTACAGGAAAGGAGAGAGAGAGAGAGAGAGAGAGAGAGAGAGAGAGAGAGAGAGAGAGAGAGAGAGAGCGCGCGCAAGTGCACTACTCATTTCAATTTGAGCAGAAATATTTAAATTGGCTTTAGTTTTCTGTAAGTGCCTTTAGTGACCCTTGTTTTATGGTTACTTAGGAACACATCTATTTTGAACAGGGAAATTCTATTAATTAAACCACATTTTCTTGCTGATTTACAATTAAATTAAGAAATATGTCCACAGAGGGGGAAATGTTAACCCGAGTTTAAATTAAAATCATATCTCTACTTCTACAAAACCTTTAAAATGTTATATATTTTGTGCATAAGATTACAAATGAAAATATTCACAGAACGTGTATTTGGAATTGTAATTTTGAGTGAAATATTAATTATAGACCCTGAGGATTCCACACCTTGAAGAATATCTTTTGGGGCTGCAGTCACCAAATTGATGAGATTCAAATATATAACTGCTCTATAACATAGACTTTTGTGAGAAAGAGACCCCTCAACAGGTGTCCTAGGTAGCTTGTGACTCCACTGAGGAGTCACAAGCTACCTAGGAGTAAATACTTCTCAAATCTCAAGATGAAAAGAATATTTACCGGTCACTTGGTTCTTTAAAGGGATCTTATTTCCAATTAGCTGTTTCTTACTTACCTAGACGTAATTCAACCAAAATCCACGAAGAGGAGTTTATGTATGTGTTATTTCTCTTTGTTTGTAATTTCTGTGTAGATATATATGTAGATATATGTGTTTTTAAAGCAACAACTGCCCAAGTAGAGACGACACACTGAGAGAATAATTTATATCTAATTTATATCCATTAACTACCTACTTCCTCACTGTAGGTACTATCCTAAGAAGAATGGAGGCTGGACCTCATAACTATCTGTGAGACCTTGAGCAATTTACTAAATACTTCTGTTTCATTATCTGTAACATGGGGATGCTAATCTCAGCTTCCAAGACTTCTGTACCTAGGACAGCATTGACATTTAGAAAGTATTTAGGAAAAGGGAGCTTTGCTTTTGAAGAATCTGGAAATCAAATATTCAATTCTGAAAATATAACTTCCACAGGTTAATTAACCATAAAGATATAACATGAAAACAGAAAATGGAATGCACCTTCATCAAGTAGTGCAGTTTCTTGTTGAGTGTGCAGATGATTCTATGGGATGCTTACTCAGTGAGAACTGTGCAGAGATCCCACAAGCTGTTCCCCCCATGGCAGAGGGTGGGGTGAGGTGGGAGCTCCTTTGTACTGGAGTTTCCTAAGAAGCAGCTGGCCACCATCTGCTAGGCAAGGCTGCTCTTGCATATCAACTTTCTGGAAGTCAGGGCTGAATTAGTCATTGGGAATTTCCAGTTTGGACAGTCACCAAGGAAGATCTTTGGAAGCCAAGCCAAAGTCTCTTTTGTCTACTAGCTTGGCTTGCCTTGAAAACAAAATAAAACAAAAAACAAAACTAAAGATGGCTTCTGCTGCTACCTAAAGCAACTCATGTAATATAGACGTTTGACCAATGTATCCCTAGTCATCATTTTCCCCCATGGCGGGAAACTCAGACTACAGATATTGTAAACTGCTAGTAGTTTTGGAGTGACCTGTAATATTGGCAGTGCCTCATGTCCAATGAGGTCCCATTGAGGCAATCTTGGAACTGTTTGGGGATATTGGGCATATTAAAGCCACAAATAACTTTGTTAATTTAATCTCCTCAAAGTCTCAGGATTCAATTGTAGAAAGCTCTACTTTTAACGTCTAAAGAAGGTACTGGACATAACCTGATTCTAACACACAGAAGAAGCAACCGAGCAAAGGATACGAGTGGACAGACATTTTGATGGCCGTTCTTCTGATCAGGTTGAAGGGGCTGAATATCCAAAGGGCTCGAGTGGCACTAAACCGGGAAATGGTCCTGCCTTTGTTCAGCACCATAAATGTCTAAAACAAAACAGAGCAGAGTTGGATCTCCAGTGAGAAGCAGAAATCCTGACACAGCCATGTTTTTTGAGCATGAGTTGTGTTGGGTCAGGCATGTGAGCAAGAAGGGGCCTGGGAGCCACAAGTCACTGAGAGCCAGAGGGAGGTGCAGAGAGTTAGGAGGATCATGGACTCAAAACCATATCCTCACTCTCCCAGAAAAAGTCCTGTTTTGTGGCTCACGGAGAGTGCCTGATGGACAGACAGCTGTCTGGGGGCTGATAAGACGCGCCTTGCCCAGGGGAAGATTTTAGCAACATCATTGTGGAGTTCTGATTGCATTTAATTCTGCTTCTGATTTGAGGACCATTCCTGGTCCTGTGATGCTCCTTCTGTTGTCTACTTCCTCCTAAACTCTCGCCTGATTCCTTCCTTTAAGCATTTAGGAGGGTGTAGGCTCTTGGCAAGAGAGAGGAGAGAGAAAGATATTCCCGTGCCTTTTTAATTTCTCTACAGACGATATTGAGATAACTGATTCCCGACCTTTGTGACTACCAAACATGTACTCACCATTTTCTTGACTGTGTAGAGCACCTACAGTATGATACAGGTGATGTAACTGTCTCAGAGCACCTCTTGTATAGATTAGTATTTCTCAAACTTCTTGATTTAAAAAAATCATTACTTCCCCAAAGTGTTGAGAAATCTAGAGTTTTTATTTATGTTTATAATTTTTTATTATACCCAAATGTGCATGTATATGTGTGTGTCATTATGGTTTGGACCTTAGATGTCCCTCAGAGGACACAGGTTGAAGTCTTGGTCATCAGCCTGTAGCACTATTGGGAAGTGGTTGGATCTTTAAGAGGGAGAACTAAGTGAGAGGAAGTTAGGTCACCAGGGATATACCCTTGAGGGGGATATTGGGATCCCAGCCCCTTCCTCTCTCTCTCTCGGTTTTGCTTCTTGGGTACCATGAGGTGAGCACTTTTCTTCTACCATGAATTTCCTCCATGATGGTCTACCTCACCATAGGCCCAGAGTGATGGACCAAGTAGCCAAGGACTGAAACCTCTGAGACCATGAGCCAAAATAAACCTTTCCTCCTTTTTAAGTTGATTTCCTTGGATATTTTGTTGAAGCAAAGAAAATATGACTAATATATAAGTATATAAATATATAAGTATATACATACAATATGCATGTACATATGTTTACATATGTGTGTGTGTATATATATATATATATATATCATATTAAAAATAAAGAACTTAGGAAATTTTCAAACACAGGAATGTACAGACACACATACATTCCAGTAGCTGTTCGAGTGATGATGTTCTTCCCCAATAATAGCTTCCATGTTTACCACTGTATGCTCGAAAGAACATGCACAAAAGAAACAAATGATATCAAAGTATTACTACAAAAGGGTTTCGACTTCACATATCCACTGAATGAGTTTGGAAGACTCCAGGGTTTCCAAGATCATACTTAGAGGATCCCAGGCTCAAATCATTCTGTTTTTTTTGTGCTCTTTTCCCAAGTCCCCTCCCCTAACATCAAGTTCTCTGTCCTCCACCTGCAAAGAAAGCCAACACCTCTGGGGGCCTACGCCAGAGCTCACCCCAGAAGCTGCCAACTTTTCCTGCAAGTTCTGCAGCAGTTGTGTGCTTTTTGAGGATTGGGGTTTAATTAGCTCTTATCATAAATTTCATAAAGATTCAAAGAAACCATCAAGGTAGTGAGTTAGCTATATCTCTCACGGACTGAGTCTTTTAGCAGACTGTCATATCACCCAGGGTTCAGGAAGACTCCCTGGGCCGGGTGGAACTGAGACTTCCTCTCCAAGAGCTGAGGGCAGACATTCCTACTGGTAGCTCTTACCCGGTGTGTGCTGTAGAAGGGGTCTAGATCCTCCAGGGGCTCCCCGACCAGTTCTGCTGAGAGCTCACCATAGAACTTGGGCAGCTGGTTGCAGGCTTTCAAGTCCAGCTGGGGCCGTGGCTTCTCTTCTTGGTCCTTCTTCTCTCTAGGCTTGTCTTTGACTTTCTTTTCTGCCTGATGGGCAGCAATTCGCTTCTCAATCTCTGCCAGTGACTCTGGAGTGAACCGACGGAAGTTGGTCGTTTCCAGGGACCCCAAGGGGAATTCCATTTTTTCATTCTTCTTCAGGAAGAATGTAAACTCTTATGAGAGTAAAAATAAGCACAGGAAGGTGACAGCTTGCTCACTGACCCTTTCCCTCCCATCCATCATGCCCTGATGGATAGAACATCTTCCCCGCCCTCTTCTTCACCTGCTCCCTTAACTCACAGTAGGCTCCTCCCAGGAACCCATCCCCCTGCAGTGCTCATATGTTTATGGGAGACTGTTTTTTCCAGGTACCTCAGGTCTTGTCTTTGCTCCCCAAGCACTAAGTCATTTCTTCTTCACCAGCCTGAAACACATACCCCTGCCCCAGCTTTAGCCATTTTGCCCTCTTTGCTCATTTCTAGGACTGAAGAGTTCCAGGCTCTCCCCTACATTCATCAAACACTTGGGTTCACGATCGACTTTATCTTAAGTCTCATCCTTCTCTCTGAACACGATATTTGATTTATTGGCATTTTCAGTATTCCTTCCTTTGAACTTCATTAAGATCTCTTGGTTTCCTGCTCTTTGTTCATGGCTGAACAATTTTCTTCATAACCAGATGAGATCGGAGGTGTGCCGTGTTAGCTATGCCCTCATTCTTATCCTAAATCCCAATCCCAGGTCCATCTAGGGCAGTCTAATTCAGGTTTCTTTGAACCTTGGATAGCTGAGGGATGCTGGGGAACAGCACTGTAATCTAGGAATCATATTTTCCCTGGTTGGCAGTTTCTTCTAGACTGAGATTGCAAGTATACTCTATCTTTCCTGACTCTCTCTCTCTCTCTCTCTCTCTCTCTCTCTCTCTCTCTCTCTCTCT